ACAGAAAGTGCTCATGTTTAACTCTAGGCTCAAACTCTTCCCTGGCAAACTGAAGTCACGATGGTCGGGACCATTCGAAGTCCACCATGTTTACCCGTATGGCGCTATGGATATCAAGAAAATGGACGATGGGTCCGTCTTTAAAGTCAATGGCCAGCGCCTGAAGGCATACCAAAGAGTCCTACCATTGCTTGACAAGACTGCACTTTTCTTGCATGAAGTTGATACTGGCCCAACATCTTAAGGATGCTGTGACATTTTAGATTTACTCTTGTACATAAATAAATGTTTATTTTGTTACTGTTTTTATTCAGTTTCCTTTTAATTTACTATTTTATTTTTTATTTTTTTGCAAGGTTAGGGTCCATCCAAATTTCAACCGTACCAGCATCAGATTCTGAACACTCCAGCCCCACACAATTTCAAAAGCGCACATGTCGCACGACCGCCGCACCACCACAAACATGAAGTCAATGTACCTTGCATTGTATTGAATTTCATAGCATGTAGTTTAGATTTTTCCTTAGTTTTTATTTAGCATTGAGGACAATGCTTCTCTCAAGTTTGGGGGTGGTAGGGTTCCCAAATCATTGCATGATAGTATTAGTAGAATGAATATGTCATGACATTAGTAAGTGGTTGAATTGGTTTTCTGAAATAAATTAAGGATGCCCGATGATGATAAATTCTTGATGGCTAGGATTGAATGTACATGACTGTTGAGGATGATAAAACCAACTCTAGGACTTGCTTCTTTGAAACCTTTGAATACACGATTGTATGTTTTTCATGCTTAAGGAACTTAGAAATTTTTTATAAGAGAACTCTTGCATGTCTTGGCATAAACGATGAAAACTCCACTATGTAAAAAATTGAAGTTGTGAATAAATGTTTCGGCATATCTGTAGAGGGACACTTTGCTATGACATAACATTACCTGGAAACTACAAATAAATAAAAGACATCTATGGTATATGAGTGAATGAAAGTAGTCACGGGATGACTCTACCTGACTATCTCGGGGGTGGAAGGTATGCTCCCTTTCACCTAGAGTGTGGGATAGTAGGTGCGATGGGCTGACTCCCTTCATAGAAGGAATGAAAAAAAAAAAAAAAACCAAAAACAATGTGGGAGTAAAAATTTTAAATGTCGTGGCAAAACAAGAAAGCTTGCGTAGAAAATTTTTAGGTTTGTTAAGCATGGAATGGATACAAACACGCACACACTCACACAAAGAATCTTACCCTAGGGGACAATACTTGATTTCTCAAACCATACTAGCATGTTGAAGCCAAATGTTCTGAGGGCTGAAATTCTATCCCATATAACTATTCTGCTTCTGAACTTGCCATGGTATTTTTATTTTGCTTAATATTATACATTGCTTGAGGATAAGCAATAGCTTAAGTTTGGGGGTGTGATAACTCCGTAAAAAGGTTATATTTGGACCTTTTCACTTAAGTTATTGACTGTCTTAGAGCTCATATAGGATCATATAGATGCATTTAGGAGCATATAGTTGCATTTGGTGAAATTCTGTTTGCCGCGGCATTTTATTTTGTAATCAGTGTTGCTTTATGAGGAAGGTGTTTGTCTGGTGATGTGCAGGATTGGGAGCAAGGAAAAGCAAAAGGGAAATGCCATGATATAAGGAGACTGTTGAGCAGAATGCAAATGTTGAACCATTAGCATTTCGAGAGATATCAAAATGAAAGAAGAATATTTTTAGTAAGAGTCAGCTGTCATGGCATAAAAAGTGCTTTCTACAATCATCCATAATGGAGGGGCCAGTTACCATCTTTGCACCGACTCTCACATAAAAGGAATGAACTTTAGGGTGCTAGTGTAATTTTAACACAAAACCCTAGGTTCATTCTCCCCTATAAATATAAGATGAAGCCTGCCTTTTTAAAGAGACTTGGAGATTTTTAGACAGCCGCCAAGAGCCTAAAAATTCAGAGAAAAAGCTCTCTTTTTCCGTCAATCATTTTTGCCGTGGCATTCCTCTGTTGACAGGCTATAGGGAGTGGCGAACTAGGCGTTCGAGAGGAGCTAGATCGCTGGGACTATTCGTGGTGGTCGAGGGAAGCTCCGTAGTGCACATCGAAGGCTTTTCCTCCTTCCCTTTGCTTTTGCTTTCATATTTATCTTTTGGGTTGTAAGAACGGATTAACTTGCTTTGTGCTTGCTTATTTCGAACCCCACCATGAACTAATCCTATTTGGTGGGAGTTTATTTTGGATATTTAAGTTTTGCTTTAATGAATGGTTATTTTTCTATGTTATATTATGTTTTGTTTATGAAGCTTAGCGCCTTAAGGTTGTAGGAGCTACGAGAGTAGTCGTTCCTTAGGAGATTACTTAGTGTTCGAGAGAATGTCTAGGTAGCACGTCCTTAGTGTTCGAGAGAAACTAGGGAGGAACCACATAAGTAAGGGGTTCTAGATAGTAACTAGGCCTAATCCACCTTAGACATAAGGCTAAGATTTTATTCTACTAAAAGGAGTTGTGTATGAGTGATAGGTTAGATGTTAATATTTCCGCAAAAAGGTATTGCCGAGACATATCCTGTTATCTGGACCAATAGGATCCCTGCAGTAGATAACGCCAATCGGTTTTGCCAAGGCATCTTCAATCTGTTGAGTCCCTTACTAGAGATAACATAGGGCACCCTTAGTAAACTCTGTCGGACAGATAAAGCATAGAAGTAAAAACATTATGAGAATTAGACTTAAATTTCCTAAGTAACTCCTATCACTTATTCCATAGTAGCTTGTCGTGTGAGGAGTCTAAAGTCCTTATAATCAAATCTAATATTTACAGTTTATTTTGCCTTTACATTTTTATTTATTGCAGTACACACAATTCTTTTTGCCACAACATATCCATTTGCTATCACATTGTCATCGTTTAATTTCCATACCATCCATTCATTTGCCACAGTATTACCATTTGTATATATACCATCTCTAACTTTACTTAGGTGACAGAGTAAAGTGCCGTGACAAACTTATTTGATTTCCCCAATCCCTGTGGAGAACGATACTGACTCATCACTTTATTACTTGTTCGATTGTGTATACTTGCACACATATCCGCACCATTTATAGTACTCACAAACAACGGACACATTTACCTCTCAGTCTCTTTCGCTCACATGCACTCCCGTTTGGTTTTTGTTCTTCAATTTTCCGCCATGTAAAATTGTAAACCCAAGCAGTGGTCTGTCTTTCAGCTTTTTATGTACAAAGAAAAAATGGAGTAAGAAATTGGAACGCAACACCGATTGTGTTTATTTCTTAGCATATCCTCTCACTTGCAAGAGGGTATTTTTTCTCTTTTGGTTATCCGGAAGTAAGCTTTTCCTCTTTCGCACTTTCCCATTTTCAGCTCGTATTGTGTGTTTTTTTGTTGTTGAAATTTTTATATTTCTGGATCAACATGTCAAGGATCTGGATATTCAGTGTTAGTTTTAAACCAAACCTTCTAATTTTCTTTCCTTCTTCTTAATTAAAACTTTTAGTGCTCCTTATGAAAGATATTCAGTCAATCATAGTAGAAGTGAAAGAGGGTCCTAGGCTAATTTTTTTTTATCTTCTTGTTTGGTTTTTTTTAAATCAGGGAATTGGTTGTGAGTATTGACATAGTGAAATCGCCAGGCTCAATCCGAGAGATGCTGGTACTAGTTTACTGGGAATTTATTGATCCGACCTATGGTTTTCGGCGTCTGTGAGCTCGTATTCTTTTTAATAAGTTCATGTTGATTATGTGACTGATATATAGTGAACGAATTGGATTTTTTTACATGTTTTAGAAATTTTGCAGTTGAATCTGTATTGAATTATAGCTTTAGAAGACAATTATGTATGCACGTAACTCAAAGGCATCATGACAGTATAGTATATTTAGAGCAGCTACTTGATATGTTGTTCGATCATTGCACATTTGCACCTTCATTTCTGGCATATATATGTTTGTTGCAGTGTCCTCTATATTTTACAATGTCTTTTATTGCTGACATGTCATGAATTTACAAGAATTATGAGGTCCTATGATTTTAGTTCCGCTATCTGCTTTATATTCTCATCATGTTTGGCTATTGAGGAACATTAAACATGGAGCATTATAAGCAATTATATGTTAAAAGGATATGCCATTTGACGCCTTAGCTTTTGGAGTGACTATGACCGAATCTCTTTCCCTTTATTTATTAAGTCCTCATTTTGAATTAGTTATTAATTGATATTTTTGATTTATTTTAGTTATTGCTTGGTTGTATGTTGTAGTCCTATGAACTAAAACTCTTTACTATTTTCGCAGTCGTTGGATGTGCATGCTCAAGTTCCATCCAAACCTATTGGATTGTCATACCAAAGTGTGGTAGCTACGAACAAGACAAATTAGCCTTGTTACTTTTACTTCAACGGTTTATGCAATAAACGTGATAGATGCACTTTTCATGTTCAAAGTACTGCATCCACTGTATGTGCATGTAATAAACCTCAAATTTATATTGAAGTAAACACTATCAAATAGTAAATTCATGTTCAAAATTCCAAAACACTTTAATTACATTCTAAACCCCAAATTCCAAAATACTTTAATTATATTCTAAACCCTAAATTGAAGTATTTTAAAATTTAGGGTTTAAAATATAATTGAATTATTTTGAAATTTAGGGTTTAGAATGAAATTGAGGACTGTGTTGTAAATTTTAAAAGTTAGGGGACTTAAATGCAAGTGCCTGAAAAGTTCAGTGATCATATTGCAAACGTACTAGCGGCAGTGTAACAGTCGGGGACCATATTGCAAATGAACTAAATATCAGAGGATTGTATTGTAAATTTTAAAAGTTAGGAGACCTAAATGAAATCTTTAGAAAAGTTCAATGACCAATACTATACTTTACCAATAAACAAATATAAATATATTTTTATTTATTCAAACTCCATTTATTTACTCTCTTTACTCCATCGATTGCCAAATTGAATTAACTATTCACTTGGACTTTATCTCACAGTTTTATCAATTCTTTTCTTCACCAGCCGCAATCTATCTCCAATCTCTGCTGCTTCATCGATTTCTCACCACCATCCGATCATTATTTATTTCTAGGGTTTGCTTTCTCTCAGATTCTTCAAACTTCAATTTCCTCACTTTGTTAATTCCTATTAATACATTGACAATTAAAGAGGAAACAAATACGGCAGGGAAAATGGTATCGGAAGATGAGTTCGATAAGCACGACGCCGACAACGAACCAGGAGAGGAAGACGAATTCTACAGCGGCGGTGACGATGATGCTGGGCCCATCGCCGCTTCTTACGATGATTCAGATGCCGATGTTGCCGATTACGAGTTCATCGACAATGATTCAGATGATTCCGATGATCTCGTCTCTCATCGACACCAGGTATTTATCCTTCTTCTGCTTTTTCGATTTTGCTTTATTTTCTTTGATTTTTCATTTTGGAATTTTCAAGCTCTTGCTACCTTGCTTTTGTTATTGTTAATTTAGAGCATTATGTTGCATTTGATGATAAGGGTTGGTTTTGGTTAAGATGTTTGTCAAATCTATACTATTTAGTTGTATGAACTAGGACGTGCTAAGTGATAAAAAATTTAGAAAGAAAAAAAAGGATAATTATATGTTTCAACTTTTATATTTTTAAAAAAGCCTTATTTCTGAAAGTCGTTGCCAATTTTCCAATTTTGCCTTGTTTTCAAATTTTTGACGATGTTCACAGATTTTGAATCTTTTTGGAGCATTTGTGGATTTGGTTTAATTCATGTGATGTCATTGCACAATGCACACTAAAATCTAGAAACGAGACCTCAACTGTGAAAGGAATTTACCTATTGTTTGCTTCTTCGGTTAAACTTTTACTTAATATGAACTATTGGATTATGTTATGTGCAACACTTAGATTACTGAACAGTCCATAGTGTATGTCAGGAAAGACCTATCTTTTCTAATGCTGCATAGGAAACTTACAGCCCTAACTAATGTCTAAAATTGAAACACGTTCACTTTTTCAATCTTATAATTAATGTGATAATTTATGCTTTTGACTTGTAGAGCATGCATTCAGTTATTTTTGCTATAACTCCCTCCAGGAAGCTTATATCTTTTCTCAACCTTGTGTACATAAAAGTTTGTGGGTTTTGAGCCCTCATTTTGTTAATTATTTTAGTTTTTCTGAAGTGGTTTATCCTAAATTGATGTCTCTTTTTCCTTAGCAAAATTATACCATTTTGAGTGAAGTAGATATTCGCCAGCATCAAGAGGATGATATCATGAGGATATCTACTGTGCTTTCCATCTCAAAGGTTGAAGCAAGCAATCTGCTACGGTACTATAGTTGGTGAGTGATCTTGATTGATTTAAATTATGTTATTTGAAATCACTTCTGTTCCTTGTCAATTTTTGCAGAGGTTTTTTTTACTTATTTACAAAATCATTTTTAATGGACTTTAACTGCATCTATGTAAATGTAGAGTGAAATTATTGTCTCTCTGTTTTGGTCAACAAGGATCTATTTTGCAATCTCTTGGAAATGGTATGTTTGTGTGGCTTGTTGTTGTAAATGATTTATGTTCATTTTGGGCTTACAGGAGTGTCAGTAAAGTAAATGATGAATGGTTTGCAGATGAGGAAAAGGTTCGCAGGTCTGTCGGCTTATTGGAGAAGCCTGTAGTTCCATTTCCTAATGGTAGAGAAGTGAGTTGTGGAACACTCAACTGAGTTTTCACATGTTTATTTTTGAGCTAGGATTTCCTATGTTTGTTTGCTTTGACGGCTTATACCTTTTATTCTTCTTCATATTTCTTCTTTTGGCAGATGATTTGTGGGATATGTTTTGAAAACTATGCTTATGATAGGCTTCATGCTGCTGCATGTGGTCATCCTTTTTGTAAATCTTGCTGGACAGGTCCGTTTTGATTCAGCAATGCTCTATGTTTTTTAGTTTTGATGTTGTTTCAAGAGTTATAGGTTAGACGTTGGATATCTCTTTTTGGTCAAAGCAATGGCTTCACATGCTCAGCTGGCTTTGAAGGGCTAAAGGGCTAATGATCTGCGAATAATTCATTTCTACTATTTATCCTGATTATGATGAATAGTCCATATTTTGGAACTCTCAATCAGCTCAATATGGCCCTTGTACATGTAAAAAGTTTTTTTTTGTACATGATTATTGTACTTTAGCTGTATGTATTGTTAAGCTCAGTAGCTAGCCTGACAGTACTTTAGCCATTCTAGCTGTATTTTCCTAACCTTTCTATGGAACTGACCATCTCAATGATTTTCTTGCTTAGGTTATATTAGCACAGCCATCAATGATGGTCCTGGATGTTTGATGTTGCGGTGCCCTGATCCATCCTGTGCTGCTGCTGTTGGTCAAGATATGATTAGTGCATTGGCTTCTGAAGAAGACAGAGAGAAGTACTTCCGTTATTTAATTAGATCTTATGTTGAAGACAATAGGAAGGTAATAATACTTAATATAGCTTGATTAATTGGTCAGTCGTACAGTAGTGACATTTAATGTGTTCATTTATTTTTGCTTCACTTGTTAAATTTGCAAAAAGATTTTAAAATTACATTTCTTTTACAGTTTTGCAATATTTTTTTTTTGGGTTGAAGGATGGGGGAGCATCTGCATGGGTAATGGAGTTGTATGTATTATGTTTTATGGTTAGTATTTAATTGGGGATAATTTGAAAATTTGTTGTGCTCTTTAACAATTTTTCATAAAAATACATTAACCACTTTTATATCATGTATGTGCTATGGCTTATTTATCCCAAAAAATATGCGTATTTTGGCTTTTTGGGTTTCAATTGTAAAATTTTCCTCAAAGATTTTTGAAGTTTTCTATATACATTTGAATCAAAATATGAATTTTATGTAAACCCATTTTTCTATATTTCTAAATGTTTTATTTTGTAGACCTTTTTCTTTTCTTTTTTAATTACTGTGGTGTGTATTCAGTAGCAGAATCTCTAAAAGAAATAGATGAATAACTTTTCATTATTTTCATTTTCACCTCTTTCGTATTGTAACCCATTTTCTATATGTTTTTGTGTTATTTTGTAGACCAAATGGTGTCCTGCACCAGGGTGTGATTATGCTGTGGAATTTATTTTGGGCAGTGGAACTTATGATGTTACTTGTCGCTGCTCATATAGCTTTTGTTGGAATGTAAGATTTTTTCTCATTCTGGCTGTAGTACCTCTATTTTGCTTTGAAGTTGCTAACAGAATTTTGATACATAATGTGCATTTGACCTTGCAGTGTGCTGAGGAAGCTCACCGTCCTGTTGATTGTGGCACTGTAGCCAAATGGATACTGAAAAATAGTGCAGAGTCTGAAAATATGAATTGGTAGGAAATAGTAATTAGATTTATTCCAATACATGAGGTTGTTTAATGCATTCCAAAATGCGAAGTTCTTAAAATTGTGTAGTATTGGCACACCCAAAAGAAGAAATTTGCTTGCTCTTCCTCACTAAAAGTAAACAGGATGTGCATAGAATGCTTTGTTATCTTAATACCACTTCTACCGGATAGTATCTGATGCGCCCGAGAAAGCTTTTCTCGATAGTCGATTCAGTCCTTAATCATTATTTTGATAGAAATAGAGAAAGGGATGCCTAGGGCTGGGTTGGATGGGGTGGGGGAGCTTTGAACTAAAGAAGTGGTGAAATAAGAATTCCCTTATACATCTTCACTAACAAAACTTTATATTCAAAATTATGCATCATATTCTTCTGAATATGTTGAAAGTTGAAATGAACAAAATGCATGTGTGAAATTTTTATATTTAAAATGAAGTTTCATTTTCTTTTCCTCCCTCTACCATTGGACCTGAAGGTGAACATTTAAAATGGTTCTGCAATATTATATCATTCTGTGCCATATTGTTATAATGGTCAGTTTATTAATCATTGTGCTTGTCTTAATCTTCAGGATATTGGCTAATTCCAAGCCTTGTCCAAAATGCAAGCGTCCAATTGAGAAGAACCAGGGGTGTATGCATATTACATGCACACCACCATGTAAATTTGAATTTTGCTGGTGAGCTTTTACCTCTGCATACATATGTGTTGCTTTTATTTTGATGAGATTCTGACATCACTACTTGATTTGGGTTATTTTGTTTTTCTGTTGAAAAACAAAATAAATAGTTCTCTTATTCATTTGTATCTTTTCTTATTGTTTGTTTAGCGTTATTCTGTACTGAGCAAGAGTTAATACTTCGTAAATGAAGGCTGGACCAAATTGAACCTTTTCTTTCATATGTGTAGTGTGTTCTTTCTCCTTTTTCTATGAGAATTGCTGTCAATTGACCATAGATATGTGCAGGCTTTGCCATGGTGCATGGTCAGAACATGGTGAGAGAACTGGTGGGTTTTATGCTTGCAACCGTTATGAGACAGCAAAGCAAGATGGTGTGGTAGGGAACTAGTTCTTTCCTCTGGCATTCAGCATTCCCTTGGGCTTGTCATTAGTCAGTTTGCGTCATTATTTAACTGCCCACTTTGAGTTTCTGATCCATAGTATTTATTTACAGTATGATGAGGCCGAGAAACGAAGAGAGATGGCTAAAAATTCTCTGGAGAGATATACTCATTATTATGAACGATGGGCAACGAACCAATCGGTATGTATTACTTATGAGATTTCTAGTGAAAATGAGATTATGCTTGTCACTGTACTAAATTTTGAATAACCAGTTGGTATTATAAATATTCTTTTATGTAGGATGTTATATATTTTTAGCTATACTATTCTAAAAGCCCTGTAGGATGTGCTAGGACTCGGTTGATCTTTTGTGTCCAAGGAGGGTGCTTTGTGTTGAAAGTCATATTGGTAAAAATAGAATGAGTAAGTGCAGAGAAATGTTAGTGGTTTCCTTGTCATGGAATTGAGGACGCTTTCAGAAGTAATTTGGAAGGATTTAAGATAGAAATAGTTATTAAAATGATAAAATATGTGATGGGTTGAAGAAAATCTTACAATCAGCTTGAACGTGATAGTTTTCTCATGTATGACCTGTTGATAATCATGCTGCATACTTTTTTAGAACTTTTACAGATCAGCTCGAGCAAAAGGTTTGAGAGAGCACGTGCATCATTGTGCCCATACAGGAATATTTATTTGAACTCATTTGTTCAGTTCGCTAAACTATTTTTGAAGTATGATTAATGCTTGCTGGTTACCTGATTAATTAGCCCTTTGCATGAACAACCATGTATATATATATATATATATATTTTATAGGAATTGAAGGCCTTGTTAAAAACCCCCTTCTTGATTAAAGGAGCTTGTAGAGAAGCTCCTTAATCAGCGGAAGGAGGAAAAGAGTGCCTAAAGATTTCATTAACCAAAAGAAATTACATAAGATACAACCAGATAAACACCCCCAACATAACCAAAAAACCAAAAAAGAACTGAAGACAACCCTATACAACAGAACTAGCTCAGCCTAAACCAACTAAGCTACTAACACAGTATAAATTTTGGCTGAGTTGTTAACCAATTTAGCAACAACAATGAAGACTTAACGGCTAAACATTTCCTGGAATACAACAGAAAACAGTACAACCAAATGCCTGAAACAATCAACCAATCCCCTCCTTAACTAACTTGTCTGCCTCCATATTACAAGACCTAGGAAAAAGCTCCAGCAAAGTTGGAGGGCCTGGATCTGTAGATACTATGAAAGAATCCATCATCTTGCCAGCCTCAATATCAACTGACTCATTCCAAAAAAGCCAAATTCTAACACAAAAGCCATGAGCTTCCACAGTATAAGAGTAAAAAAATCTAGCTTCGAAATCACTCTATCCGCCTTTCTACCACTTATTGCTCGTCTTGTCATCGGAGACCATCCGAACCTCCAACTTCATTCAATAATCAAATGCGAATCACCTGAAGCTTCCAATTCTTCCACTGCTATAGTTTTCCGAAATCAAAAATACTTGTGAGCCTTCAAGTTCAGTCCATTCTTCCTCGCGATGCACCTTCTTCTGATTAATCTTGCTTCGGCAGAGTCTAGTCTTCCTACGGGGAGTCGAATATTTCTCTTCAATTATTTGGAGAGAGCTATATTTATTGTTAATCCCCTCCTTAGCTCTCTGGATCTGCCTGGAATTGAGTGAGAAAGAAACGTCCCTCAATTGTGTTGACAAGCTAAGACTCTGGTCCAAATCCTCACATACTATCCCTGATTTGGGTTTTCCAATCACCCGTTCAACCACAAACCCCATCATGTTGGACTTCCTCTCCCTTGGATCTTATGATAGCACAATTATTTGTAAGGCCCATATTAATCACATCCTCTAAACGACCATCCAAGATGGGCAAATCTATTAAATTATCCTTCATCCCCTCATTAACACGTGTAGTCTTATCAAATTTCCTGTTGTCATCTTCTGCCCCTCTCAGCACGTGATCCAGCACTACCTCGTGTTCCACCGCTTCCAGCACTTCCTCATGTTCCACCGCTTCCTCGATTTGCATTTGAACCTTCCCCTGACCAGCAACATTATTCCTCAGACCCATAATTATTTCCTCCCCTATGTTCCTTTCCTCCTCATCCTCACCAGACAAGTTGCTACCTTCAGCTCTGATCCCCATACACAATAATTAACTGTCTTCTTCCTCAGAACACCTCTAGGAATTCTTCTCCTCCGATGAGTCCACGCTTCTTCCTGCCGGAGAATCAGAATCGACTACAACCGCACCATCTTTTTCTTCCCGCTTTCGAAACAAAGAATCACTTCTAACTGTGGGAACTTCCACTACTCTAATTCGAAATAAATCTCTACCTACTTCCAAGTCTACCACTTCAATTAATTCCTTCCTAGTAGTTGCTATCAGAATAGTCATCTCCTCGCAGCCCAATTCTTGAAGTGTGTTTTCCCCTAGTGCTAAGCATTCTCCCCATTGTGTGCAATCCTCTTAAAGGTGCTATGATTCCAGCAGTGAAGCAGCATTCCAAACAATTTAATCCATGTAACTCTTTCCGAAGCTCTGTAAGATTCTGACCAAGGTTGAACTTCCTGGAAAACTTCATTTAAAATCGACCAGTTTTGTTCCTTCAAGGTTCTGTATAACTCTTCCTCAGCTATTTGCAATAAGAAATCTCTCCCTCCCAGGAACTTGGTCTTAATTTCTCCTAGACCACCAGCTTGTAATTTGTCATCCACCTGACTCGAAAAGCATACCGTCGCCATCGTTTCCACGAGGCACTTCTGGAGCTTTTGAACAACTTCCTCATCTACATCCCCCTGAATTAACCTAGTCCTCCTTGCAAGTTCCTCCGGACTTTCTCCACTAACGCTTGTTCCTTGTTCTACCCTGTTTGTAGCACTGGAAGTTGAAGGATATTTCAGTTTCCAGATTTGATTCTTGGCTCCATACCGAGCTTCTTTGACTGATAACCGATATCCAAATAACCAGAATCCATTTAATCTTTGGACTGCTCTAACTGAGTCACCTCTGTTGGAAAATCTAACAAAGCCAAAGCGCTTTCCTGTTCTATCATTTTTCCTTGCTATATAAGAACTAATCACATCACCATGCCTCCCGAATAGATGTCTCAACCCACTCCAGTGATATGTAGGCGGTATGTTTTGCACAAACAGTTACTATCTCACCTTCCTTCCCTGAGCTTTGAGCCATCCGTCCTAACTTTTGTTCCTCAAAAGAGCAATCCGGAAATGCTCTCAATAAATTAACAGCAGAAAACAGTAATCTGAAATAACACCAGTTGAGCCCAAACGGACAGATTTAGAGCAATTGTTGGATAATCTGTAGCACCCCCGGTAATGTCAAAGAACCTAGTAACGTCGGAACAACCTGGTCGACGCAGAACGACGGCAGTAGAAGGCAGAACAGTAACAGTTTCTGGAAATTACGAAACAGTAAAAATCGAATCCCGGAGAACAGCAACGGTTCTCAACTCAAGGAGAGGTGGGTTTTGGTCGCCAAATGACGCAGAGCTTGGTGGTGAGGCTTTGTCGAAACGGACGGCGGTTGGCGGCGAAAATCGGCAGTGAAGAAAGTATAGATCTACACCGATTGGAAGACTTCATCGCAAATCTAAGCCCATATTTGGAATCTCCATAAGCAGACGAGCTTCCCTGAGAAAAATGGCGTCGAACGGAGATCGAATTGCAGCGGCGGCCGGCGGTCTGCGGCAGCGGACGGTGGTCGGCGAACAGTGATGGTGGACGAAGAACGGTGGAAAGTGGATAGTTGACGACTGATGGCAGTGGTCAAGGTTGTGGAAGGGTTGAGTGTTCAGTCATACCCACGTGACTTTTTAAAAAAAAACTGGAATCTAGAGAGAAGAGGGACATTCTCTCACTAAAAGCCCGCCCTCTATGTATATATTCTTGGATGCATGCAATACATTATTGACTTCTTTCTTTTGACTGCTTAAGTCTATTTTCTGGAAACACTTTCTGGGTGAATAGCCACCTTATTCTTCAATTAGAAGCATTTGTTGGTTCTTCTAAAACTTTCTTTACTCGATGCAGTCTAGGCAAAAGGCAGTGGCAGATCTACAGCAAATGCAATCTGTGCATGTAAGCCAAACTTTGTATAATTTTTTACCAAATATGGTTATGCTGGTCAAGACAATTATTTTATTACCCTTTATCATGGTTGTCATGAATATAGTTATTGAAAGGCTATCAAAAACATTGAAGAGTGCTGATAATCATGTGTCGATTGCAGCTTGAGAAGCTGAGTGACATACAGTGCCAACCCGAGTCACAGCTGAAGTTCATCACTGAGGCATGGCTACAGGTAATTTCCAAATTTCTGCCGGGCTCACTCTCTAGATGTTACTTTAGCTCATCACTGCTACTTAAATTGTGCAGATAGTAGAATGTAGGAGAGTTCTCAAATGGACATATGCCTATGGATATTATTTACCAGAACACGAACATGCTAAAAGACAGTTCTTTGAATACTTACAAGGTAATGTCTCTCCATCTATAAGCTATGGCTAATATTGGACCACTCTTCGGAGTTTGTTATTATATTTATATATCTTAAGCTTATTTCTTTTGTTTACGGATAGACACACAAAATACACATATTTCACCTTTCTTCACTTAAGCGGGTGCTTTTTTAGCGCCTTTCACCTCAGGCAATATAACACCTAAACTGCCCCTCGTGCCCTTAACGTCAGTGGTTTGCACTCTCATGCCCTCTATTGTCTTGCAGGTGAAGCCGAGTCTGGGTTAGAACGACTTCATCAATGTGCAGAGAAGGAGCTGCAGGTTTACCTCAATGCAGAAGGCCCATCAAAAGATTTTAACGAGTTTCGGACAAAACTTGCTGGATTGACTAGGTAACTTTTTGTTTATATATATATATATATATATATATATATATACCATTTAGATTCCTTTTGAAACTCATTATGGAGTAGAATTTGATAATCTTAGCATCAAGTCTTATTGAAAAGATTCAGTTCAAAAGCTTGGTTTTGTGGAAAAATCTATTATGTTGGGAAAAGATGATTTATATTTTACTTGAACCTCTTTAGAAAGCGTTTTCTCATACCCTTCTCCTTCTTTCATCTATAAATTAATTACTTGCAAAAACTTCGTGACAACAGTGTGACACGGAATTACTTTGAGAATTTAGTTCGAGCTCTAGAAAATGGTCTATCAGATGTGGACTCCCGTGGAGCCTGCAGCAGGATGGGCAGCTCAAAGGGCATGGTAGGTGGTAGCAGTAGGGGAAGAAGTGGGAAGGGCAAAGGTTCAACCTCTAGACCCAGTTGCTCCAACAGAAATATTGACGACTCCGGCCATTGGTCCTGCGAATACTGTACATTCGCAAATGTCAAGTCAGCCACCTTTTGCGTAATGTGCCAGCAGCGTCGATAAATATCATTGGCTGTACCAGATCCTATCTGGCTTCGCCTCTTGATTCATGTCTCCAATGGCATAGGACTTTAGAGGATTGCCAAAGGGAGAGCAAAAAAAAAAGGTTTTTCCACTTCTCTTTCCATCTCTTAAATCGAATTTGCCGTGATGCAGCACTGTGGAACTGATATCGGGAGAAGGGGTGTGTTTATCTTACGTGAATTGTATATATATAGTTATACCGTGTAGTTACGAAAACCCTTCAACTTGGCTTTTCTTCATATGGCAGGCGTCTGTCCAATGTATTCTTAAGTTATTTCTAGGGTCAATGGATTTCGGGTTTCAAGCAGACTGCAATGAAATGCGACGATAGGCTGCACTGTGACCGTCTGTGATGATAAATAATTTGTTGTTGTAACCATTTTAATCATATGGGGGGCACTAAATTTCCGACGTGCATGTGTTGTATGTATAATTTCGTCATATTACTTGTAGATTGGTTTCCGATGGTGTCGAACGTTAGAAATTGAGTGGTGTTTCCGTTTATTTTCCGGTGCCGTTTTTTTAATAATGTCATGCATGGGTATAATGTTAGACAGAGTAGAGAAAGCAACACATTCTGTTGTGTTGTTATCTGGGCTGTTTGAATTCAATGCTGAAATGAACATAAAAATTTCTTCCTCTGTTTATTACAGTATGATTGAATCTTATCGCTTATGTGCCCAATTTTATTAGTGCTGTTTATACGTTCAAAGATATTATCCCCCCTTTCAATCGTCAATTTAATGCATCCAACCTAGGTTTTGGACCCTATTTCGCTATTTTTGCGAGAATGAGTATTTGATCGAATTAAGTGGAAAAAAATAGTTGAATTTGTAATTATTATTTTATTGTTCAAATTTTATTCCGTTTTGAGAATAACCTATTAATGAGTGTATGAAAGAAAAAACTTGATTCGATTACTCTAATTTTGATAATAAAACGATTTGATATATAAAACTGAAATAACCAAATCCAAACTCTATGAAGTAAGATTTTATATTAAGAAAAAATGATATAGGGAGAGTTTTACTCTCGTTTAAAAGTTTAACTTACATCGAACCGAACTGAAATCGATATTTTTATATAACTATTTAAAAAATGATAGTGGGAGGGTTTGAAAATTGAAAGCCTATTAAGAGAGAGAAAATAGTATTAAAAATAAATACACACTGGCAATGTATTGAATGGAAAAGGCATCATTGCAAAAGTACGTCATCATTATCATGCATGCAAATGCAATGCAATGCAAGGCAAAGGCAAAGGCAGTGTGTTTCTTTTCCATCGTCAATGGCATAGTGAATGCTTTGGGTTTAGAGATGAATGGCAAATAGCATTTAGCATTGTCTCTTAAATGCATTTTGATGGGATTTGACAATCCACGCTTCCTCTGCGGATGCCTTCGTTTTTGTGAGCTTTAAATTCCCCACCCTCCCCTTTGTCTCTTTCACTTGTCTTCTCCCATTTAATGCTCATTTCTATGCCTCTATCTTTCCAAATTTTCATTCTATTTACATCCATCTATTTGTATTCGATTAATTTAAATCTAAAATATGATCCATGTGATCAATACGACGGCCAGGTTATTAAAATATTAATCACAGTTATAAAATTATATACAAGTAATAAAATTTTACATTATATAAGTGAATATTTAACAGTATATATATGTACACTTACACACACCCAAAGGGGGGAGGAGAGAACTGCCGAAGGAGAAAGATTAAAAAGAACGGAAACAAAAACCAAAGCATGGATGGGAAGAGTTTATACTTTAGTGCATTGTTTTAAGCTCAAATATATAATATTATGATTACAACGATGATGAATATTAAATTTAAAACTAAAGAAAATAATTTATATTATGTCTACCAAAAGCAAAACAGAAACAGAGAAGAAGCCCTATTTTAATCATTCTTTAATAATTAAAATAAAAAAAGGCAGTCTCTAAATGCTGAATCTTTGGTTTGAAATCTACCACCACTTTGCCTGCATTATAAGCAAAACGATAAGTTAATCCAATATCTCCCCCATGAATATTACCATCAAGTTCGTAGTTTAATATTATACGATTATACAACACGAAACGTAATATATATAAAGATTCTAAAATATACGAAAATCAAATACTAATGGAACACTATTCAAACATATAAACACAATTACCTAACCTAAGTACAAAAGTTGATAATTATGGATGCATGATCAAAGTCTCACCTTTTACGTCAATTATACTGCATCTTATATATATATAGGGATATAATCCTATTACACAATATAAAACTCTTTTAGTTTTACATAAATTTAGTGTCGTTGGATGAGTGAGATTAACAGTAGAAAATGATAAGATATTCACTAAAAAAATAAAAAATTAATATAAGTAATCTATTTTCACTCATTTAATGATCTTAAATCTGTATAAAATTAAAATAGTTTTATATTATAGAAGTAAATCTTAACCCCTCTCTCTCTCTATATATATATATAAAAGGTTGTTTGGTCAACCACAATTGGAAACTGTCTTAACATCCATTTAAAAACTTTTATTTTTATTTTGATACTGTAAAGATACGACCACGACAATACCATGCATTTCATTCTGCCAACCAATTAAAATTTTTCAAAATATGCTAAATTATTTTTACTATTTACAGTAAACCTTTTATGGTGAAACTAAAAACTAGGGTTTCACTTCATTCTGCCAACCAATTAAAATTTTTCAAAATATGCTAAATTATTTTTACTATTTGCAGTAAACCTTTTTATGGTGAAACTAAAAACTAGGGTTTCACAGTGACCTGGTCAGGAATGTTTTAGGTTCCCTTGAAAGAAGCTAGTTTACAAAGCTTTAAAGAGTGTTCAAGGTTTATTTAATATCTATTTAAATGACAACTTAAAGAGTGCCTACTTAACAAAGTTTTTAGGTTAATTAAACTAGTATTTCTTGATGAACCGATTTTTAATTTATTTATCAACTAATCTCAATCGGGTACTACAAAAAACTCATTATAAGGAAAATTCTCCTAATTCAATATGTTTCATTCACAACATCATAATTCATGTAATACCCCAAACATCGGGTCAATGACTAATATGTAAGGAGTTAAAATTGGTGGTTTAATTGAATAAATTGAAAAGTTCAAGGACTAATTTTTGTAAATTGTGTCTAGAACTTATTACCAAAGATGGAAAAATGGAAGGGCATTATAGTCTTTTAGTATGAAATGAATTTAATATTAATTTCTTTAAAGATATTTAACATGTGTTGGATAAAGGGGAAATAAGGAAAAGTCTGGAACTTGGTTCACTTCTCTTCTTCTTCTCTTTCCGTGACTCCATTGTTAAGGTAAGTTGATTTTAAGTTGGTTGTTTCTTTAAATTTTGGTTTGGTTTTGAAGCCTTGAGTGGTATAGAAACTTAAGGAAAGCTTAAGGATGAATAAAACTAAGAGTTTCGTGAATTAATGATAAATTGGTGAAATTGGTTTTTAAGGGATTTGATGAGATGGATTAGTAATTGGATTTATAATGATATATTTAATTTGTCAATTGTCTAATTAAGAAGTTAGAAGTATTAGAAAGGATTACGAACATGTTTGAATATTTGGTGTGTTTTTTAGTTCTAAGTGTCTATGGAGAAATTTAGATGTTATAAGGGGATTTATGGAGGTAAGTTAGCTAGGATAAGTATAATAAGTTTGAGGGTATGAATAGAGTTAAAAACTTAAGATTTAGGTGAAGTGTGAGAAATTTTCAAAGTGAAAGAGGTAAAATCTAGGTTCGGGTATCTGTACTAGAAGAACAATATCGGTACTATAAGGGTAAATTGAAGGAAAAATGTTTGAATCAGATGAACAATATCGATATCGATTGAAGTATTATCAATACTGATGAGGAGGTTTCGATACCAAGAGGAAGGTATCTATACTGTAATTGAAATGAAATTCCAGAATGCTGAAATGGTATCAGTACTGAAGTGGGTATCGGTACCATAGAGGAGAAGTATTGGTACTGTATGAGGGGTACTGATACTATTCAGTTTGAGACTTTAAATTGGATGGTTTATTTTGTTTATGTAAATCCGTATTGGTTAATCGTTAATCGAGATTCAAAATTTATCTTGAATACGTTGATGCGTAGATTTGGATCAAAAGCTTACTAACGAAGCAATAAAGTACGAGATTGAATGAAAGGAAAGGGACTTTGTTTAGAACTTACGTGAGACAAAGGTGAGTGCAACTAATTTATTTTACATTAGATATGAGGACGGCTTGCGATAAGTCAATCTCAAAGTTTTTGATCGGAAATGGTTTTTTTATTTTATGCAATTATTTTTATGATGTTCTATTTAAAGTGTACCCTCAAATTATTTTTTTGATTTTATTGGTATGTGATAATGTGCTAAGTGAAAAATGTTCTACGTGAAAATAACCTATGTGAATGTACTCTACGTGAATAAAACACACTTTGAATAATGAAATGAAACATAATTATATGGTTAAAGCCCAAGGTATATGTATGAGAACTAGAGGTATAGTTGGCATGCCAAGAGTCTAGGGTTCTACGCGGTTTTTCGGGACAATTCTACGTGGTCTTTCGGGACAAATTCTACGTGGCACTTCGGTACAAATTATATGAACAGTGGTGACTACATTAGTGCACAACCTCAATGTACTCAAATACTTGAGTTCTCAGTAATATGCATTGGGCATAAAATAATAAAGTGATATAAATCGAATAATGAGTACAATATATGTATTTTCATGAAATGTATCTTGATTTCAATATGAAATGTTTTATGTGGATTGAATAAGCAAGTGTTTTTAAATGGTTTATTATACTCATTATTGCCTCACTAAGTCAACGACTTAACGTGTGATTGTTTCACACGTAGGTTCAAAGAGATCAGGAGATTAAAGCTAGGGAGGGACAACATACGCCTGAAGAAGATCAGATCAAAACCATTTGAATTGTAGGTTCTTGTTATTTTGTAAATTTGTTGGAATGTATTACAAAGTATTAAATGAAAATGCTTTGATCAGTTTTGTAATTATACTATTTTAAGTTTATGAAATTTATATATAAACTGTTGTATGATGGTTTCACCACAAAATATAAAGAAAAAGTTTTAAATTTTCAAACAATTTTATAAGAGTCAGTTTTGAAAAAGTCAATGTAACACATCATATTCGTATCCGGGTCGGGTACGGGTTGAGGTGTTACAATTCAAATCTCTAATTTTGTTTAATAGATACAATGTCTTATCCCACTCAGGAACTGACACAATATGTCAAGGCGTGAGAACTTAATAAGTTATAATATAAACTTATGGGATACTAAATGATAAAATTTTAAGAGTACGAAATTATATAATTAATATAAAATACAAATAGATTACTTAAATTATAGAAAAATTTAAATTTCCAGAAATACAACCCCATCCAACACCCCTATAATCTATCCCTAATCGGCTAATCCTACTAGATCGGATGATTGATTGTATAATCCTATGTTACTTAAAGCTTCTTTTAGTAAGGAAATAAATATGTATAATAAGGAGGATGATTTATTCAGATTATCTAAAGAAAAATATTTTTTATATATTTAAAAATATTTTTAAAAAATAAATAATAAGAATTTTCTTGATTAAATGATATTTTGAAAGTAGTTTTGAAATTTTAAGATTATATATGATTTTTTTAGATTAAAACCCTAATTTTAAAATTTTATTTAGCAGCAAGCAAATTGCATAAAAACCCTAGTTTTTGTGATCATGGCATGTGAGTCAACTCGATCGTTCATGGTTTTCAACAGAAAAAATAAATAAAAACAGAGAAGGGCGGAGTATATCTTTAGGTGGCTGTGATGATTGTAGGGTTAAAATAAACCCTAACCTAAGATGGATGAATGGTACGGCGTTCATCTCCGGCAGCCGCTCTAGGTGGTTGGAACTGATTGAGTTGACCGATCCCCGACGAGACATTCATAGCGAGAAGGTTTGAATCATAATTACTGCTGGCGTCTAAGCTCATTATCATCTGTTGTTGATGGTGATGATGATCTCTAGGGAAGAACTGATGGTGGTGGTAATGATGTTCCCGCCCTCCGCCACCTCCACCGCTCCCGATCAGATTGATCCCCAAGTTCTGGTGTGTTGTAGCAGTGGCGGCAGCTGCCGCCGCAATGAGCCCGGCGTGTCCGGTGATGCCCAAGCTCTGGTACTTGGACAGCTCGGACTTTGCGCAGCTGAGATCCAACTGCAGCTGGCGGAGCTGGTGCTGGAGGAGCGATATGACCCCGACGCAGCCGTAGACGGGGTCACGGAGGCGCATATCTGCCTCGTACGCCAACGAATTCACCGCATCCTCCCGCTGCGACGGGTGCAACTCGTTGAGCAGCTTAGTGATGTTGCTGGCGCCGAACACCTTGTGGACGTTGACGAACTTCTGCGGCTGGTCCGGCGGGAAGTAAGGCGCGAAAACACACTCCGGCTGACATTTCCGCCGCAAAAACTTGCACGCCGCGCACGGAGAATTCGACGACGATGACGCCATGTTGTTCCACCCTTTTCTCTGCAACACCAAAAAACAACCATAAAAAAAACAAAGAATCAAATCTATGCTTATAAATCCATATTTTAATTCCCAGTAGTGTACCATATAAAAAGAAATGGAAATTTCACAGATTTGCACAAAATTTACGTCTATAAACAAAACACTTAAAACCGGAAAGAAACCTCTCTTATTTATGGAAAAATGATAACAAAATCTTGAAATGATACTTTCTAGAAAGAAAGAAAAACCGGAAAGACTGTAAAATTTTAGGGTTATATGAGAAGAGAGGAGGAAGAAGAAGAAGAAGAAAGGAGCAATTCATGGTGGCTGATAAATTACCAGTAGGCTAGTGGGAGTGATTGGATCTCGCGAAAAAGACCTTTTACTACACAAATTTCGATGGAAAAGCTTCTGGGGAACAGATCTTGCTTGAATTTCATAGAAAATACTATATTCTCACCAGCTGCTTCATTTTGCTGCAAAAGGTGTAAAAGAAAATGTAATAAAGAAACTTTATTACAAGAAAAAAATATAAAAAATAATTCGATCAAACAGTAAGAAATTAGATCCTTTAAATAAAGTTAAAAAAGAAAAGAGACGTCTGGCTCTGACAATGGGGAGATATTGGGATGAAGAATTAACCTATTGTTCTTATTCTTTTTGTCTTGGGAGTTTAATACAATAAAAAGAATAAAGTAGAGAAGAGAAAAATAGTGATATCACTACCAGTACTAGATGAGCGTGGCCTCGGTTTCTTCAGTCAAACCATTATAAAAATTATTTTCATTAGCTCTCTATTGATTACTTTCCTGGCCTGCAGACTCCTTTTACTACAGTAGAATGGGGCAGATGGTCTGGGAGCTATAACTTTGGGAGGAAAACCCCCAAGAAAGTTGCATGAAGATGATGATGGAGTATATATGAAGAACCCTAGCTACTTATATAGAAAGACCGAGATAAAGAAGCATAAAGATAGAGAGAAAGAGAATGGAAGGGGGACGTTGTTTTTGTTCCCCCCCCCCCAGTAGCAGAGGCAAAGGGGACGGGGAGAAAGCAAACGAGTGAGTGGTTTGAGGATGGTGAAGGTGAAGTGACTGATTTTGTGGGAGAAAAGGGATGACTCTTTGTGTTGACTCTTTTTGGGTAAAGTACTACACGTATCTAAATTACTTTTATTCCATTTTAGTACACAAACTTTATTTGTTTTCAATATCATACCTAACATTTAGTTTATGTTTCATTTTGATATCCCACCGTTAAAAACTTAACGGTGATGTTGATGTGCCATCATAAAATAATACCATATCATCATTGAAAAAAATCTAACGTCAACAGTTCTACTAATTTTTTAACGGTAAGATACCAAATTGAAATCTAAACTAAACGTTAAGTATAATTTAAAAAAATAAAATTTAGGTATAAAAATGGAATAAAAATAATAGTTTAGGTATTAATATGTAGTTTAACCTTTCTTATTCTGTCTTTCTTTTATTATTGATGGGTAGTTTTTTTTTCTGGTTATTATTAGTCAGACTTATCAGAGATCTTTGGGGCATGTTGGTGTTGCTGTGACATGACCCTTCCTCCTTTTTCTCTGCACATACTGTTGCATTGTTTGTACCATCTCTCTCTGTTTTCTTTCTTTTAGGGTTTCAGGTTTGCATGTGGTCCCATTCTGTGGGTTTACCCACCCACCTACTTTCTGTAGTTTTGTTAATTTCAATGGATCAAATGATATTTATTAGCCAGGCAGGTATGAATAAGGGTTGTTTTGGTACCATCATATTTTTTATAATTTTTTAAATATTATAAATTAATTATATGATAGTATATGTTTAAAATTATTTTTAAATATTCATAATGTATATACATCTTACAAACGTAACTGTTTGAATTCGATATATCAAGGGAGAATAATATTCTCTTTGACCACTAAAGTCGTCTAATGGGTTTTATCTCCTAAAAAGTTTAAATTCACATATAATTTAAATATTTTTTAATACTTTTTGTTAATGATCTAATTTCGCACTCCTGTAATTTTGTAATATCACACTCTCAAGATTGTAATATTATTTTTTAAGTTTGCATCCCTTGGTATAACTTATTGCATCTGTCCATGTAACCAAGTTCCTCATTTATATTCAAGGATGGACCGAGGAATGTTGATAGTAGATCATAACTCATAATATATTTTAAAATTTAATATATATTTTTTAAAATTACACTTTGAAGTTTGAACATAAACTCCTGTATTCATCTATATTTATATCCCAACTTAAACAATATATTCAAACTTTCCTACAACTTAAGAATAAAACATATCTAAATATATTTGAATTCATGTTCTTTAAATAATAAATTACTTCATAAAATTATATCTTAAGTACTTTTTTTTATAAAAAAAAGGTCTAAAAAAAAGTAGACCGAAATATTGGTTTATAGTTCTAATTGATCTTCATTCATATGACAGGAACATTCAAACAATTAGAACTTGTTATGGAGTCGGGACGGAATCAAAATATTAGTTCAATAAGATAAAGTACTATAATCAACAATAGCAAATAGAAAATGAAATCAAAATAATTAAAATTACAAGGTCTGAATAAGTATATATCTCTATATATTTGTTAACGATAGAAAAAGTAAGAGCAGTGACCCCTAGGGAAAAGCATAGCTTCGTCTATGTATGTAGCATAAAAGTCATATATATATATATAAAAGGATGAAGTTAGGATCAAACACTGGGAGAAAATAATTTACTTTACAATAAAGGAACATGAATTTACTAAATATTTAAATTTAAAAATTATAAGAAAACAATACCTTATTTGATTAATTTTAAACTAAAAAGAACCTAAAATACTACTATACTTAAATGGCTTGATCCCAACATCTATACATTATCATGTGTAGTTTAATTATCGACTCAGATTATTATTAATCACTGTTAATTTAGCTTAAATATGATGTACCAATCAGCTAGTACATAGTGAGAGAAGCTCCTCCTTCTCTCTAAAAATCAGGTGTTTTAGATAAGTTTTTCTATTTTCATTCCTTATCATTTCTCTTAATGGCGAGTAAGGTGAGAGTTCCGGTTGGGAAAAACTGTGTCACTGTGATCATTTTCAACATTCCAGAGAGTTTTCATTACAAAGGTCTTTGGTTATTTTTCGATAAATATGGCGAGGTGGTGGATTCTTTCATCCCCAATAAAAGAAGCAAGGGAGGAAGTAGGTTTGGTTTTGTTCGTTTCACCAGACTGGAGGACGCGAGGAAGGCTATCAACTGTGTTGATAGATCTTGGATTCAAGGCAACAAAATTAGAGTATTCATGGCGAGATATCTTCCTCGTGATGTTTTCTGGAGGAAGAAGTTCTCTGGTCCTTATTCAGTCGAGGGAAACAATGTAAGGAAGGATGTTAGTCACATGGTGGCTCCATTGATGGTTCTGTTGACGACAGTAAATTCTCAACTCTCAAAGACAGCTTGTTAGGATGGTGCAGAATTTTTATTAAGTGGGTAGAGTCGTCTTCTTTTGAAGAGGCAGTCGTATCCCCGTTATCCAAGGTGAGGGAGCTCGTTGGTGCCTTTTCAGTTAAGTTTCCTGAGCTGGAAGAGGGTTCTGAAGAAGCTGGAAGTTCCATTCACTCTTCGGAGGTGCAGTCGACCGTGAGGTGTTCTGAGAATGAAGAAAATGTTTTCTGTTGTTTGGGGACTAGTGCTAGAGGCAACATCCTGTCGGGTGAGGGCGTGGAGGACAGGAACATAGGAGAGGCTTTGATGATGGGTCCGAGGAGCGACGTTGGGGGTCAAAGGATGGTTCTTTCCCAAATGGAGGGAGTGGGGGAACACAAGACATTGCTGGTGCATGCGGAGAGAGAAGCAGTGGATGTCTTTAAGGACACTTGTTTGCCTGCACGTGGTTTTGTGGAGAGTAAGGATTTTTTAATTAATTCTCCCATCCAGGATGGTCTCTTAGTGTCAAAGGAATTGGAAGATGTGAGCCTAAAGGATAAAGTGGATCTGTTGGTTCACGTGGAGAGGGATAATGAAGTTGCCTTTAGGAAAAATAATGAGTCTGCATGTGCTTTTGTAGGCTCAAAGGATTATTTTAATGATTTCCCCATGTTGGATGATCGGGTTGAGATAAGGGAGGTGGAGGAAGGGATTCACGAGGGTTGTTCTTACAACTACGCTTTCGTAAATCCAAAGGGTATCGCAAGGAAGTACATGAGACCTAAGGTGGGTTCTGGCAACAAATTTAGATCTAAATAATTTTTTCAAGGGAATTTTACAGCTCCTAAAAGAAAGTATAGGGGTTCCCGAAGCAAGAGCTATCAGAGTAAGGTGTATTGGGAGGAAGAGGTGTATGTTTTTGATGGCAGATTCACTTATGAATCTGATTTTCCAGTATTGGGGCATTCTCAACAGAAGGATATGTTCAATTCCTTCCCTTTTGGGAAAGATTTGGGTTGTGAGTCTAATGGCGCAGTAGTGTATCTATTGTCGGAAGACGATGGCGGGGGAAGGAGTAAAAGGTTCAGGTGATCTACACCATGTTTTTTGTCTGGAACTGGAAGTTCGGATAGTCTTTAGCCAACAAGACGTGGTGATGTGGTGGAAAGGCGGCTATATGCGTGTTTTTTTTGTTTTCTTATCATGTGAAAGCTCCGTGGCCTTTGAGTTAGAAGTTGGCTTTTATGGTTTTAGTTAGCTGTCACCCTTGGCTTTTTTCTAGTTGTTTTGTTTGATTGAGTGTTATCGGGCCTCGTTTAGGTTTTTTGTTTGGCCAGTCTTTTTTAGGCTGTTGTTGTTGCTTTGTTGGATTAGGCTGGTTCTGGTAGGATTGTTGGTGGCTGTTTTTGGTGTTTTGTTCATATTGGGGGTGGCTCCCTGGTTGTATCGTGTTCTTTCTATGGTTAATAAAATCTTAAGGCACTCTTTTCTCCTTCCGGAAGGAGGTTTTTAACGAGACCTGCAATTCCTATAATATATATATATATATATATATATATATATAAATAATATAACTAATCAATGAAGATTAATTCAAGTAGTAAGTAAATTAATGTTGTTTAAGTACATATTGAATTCAAAACCATGTAAATGCGAAAAATTCCATTAAAATACTTATTTATTGAAATTAAATGTACGACATGAATAGATATTAATTAATCAAAGTAAAACTCCGAAAAACTAATAGTATAATCAAAATATAATAATAATAATAATAAAATTTTAATCATAGATCCGTTCGTGCTATATGGTTCAAAGTATGAAACTCTTGATTAGCCTCTACTTTCTTCCGTTGGGGGAGAAAGCTTTCAATGGCAAAAGAGTGGTGTTTGCGGGGTAATTATTATGCCAGATTTGGTGACATTTGGAAAGACATGCTTGACTGCTTATTGCTACAAGGAGTGGTCAAACCGTGAGCAGTTGAAGTGAAATCCTTGTTTTCTGATTCTTATCATCAAACCCTACTTTTAGGTGTGCAGAACCCATCTTGTTTCTGCCCCCCCCCCCCTTTACTTCTATATATATATTTTTATCGATCGATTTTAATAGTTAAAAGATTTATAGTTCCTTGCTTAGAGTAGATGTGAATTAAAGGATTTGTGTTTTAAAACGTGTTTAGATGTGATTGTTTATGTTCTTTAAGTTTTGGATGCGACAAGTATTTTATATTTATCTTTAAATAAATACCGTTAAGATTAAAGTATTAAAACAAATTAAAACAATTATTTAATTAAATATTATCTTTATGCATGCATCAATTCAAAAAACCCAGTTCAGACAGATAAGGAGATAAAAACCTAAATTCAACCCTTTTTGAGATGCTATTATTAGGAAGGATAAGTAAATAATCATGAACATCCATTTTCATGTACCTTAAAACCATATAAAAAACACTCCTATGCGTGTGCAAAGCGCAAAGTGCCTAAAAGCTTAAGTATTAAATTACACCTTGAAGCCAGTTCATGTAGTAAAATGTATATTTCCCCAAAGCATAGGGACTAAAATTCAGAATTTTAAAGCGTACAGGGACTGGAATAAAAGTTACCATTCGAATGATATCCGAAATGTTAGATGCGATCATGCAATTAAACCATGTTAAAGGAGAAAGAATTTGAGAGGGCGGAAGAAGCAGTTCGTATGTAGAATCTGCAGGAAGACCTTCACAATTCTTCGCACGATCTCTCTTTCTTTCTTTGATCTCATTGATTCACAAATGAATCCTTCAATCCTATTGAAGATTCCTTCAGATCCATTACCCTTTTCCCAGATCTCTCTCCTTTGATTCAATTTTCAAAGTTTTTCTTAAAAATTTAATCTTCCGATTAAATCTCAAGATCCCTCGATTCTCTCTCAAAACCCAGTTTTTTTCGTCATGGGTTCCACTTCCATTCGCTTTCTCTTCATTGCTTCCTTTGTCTTCTTCGCTGTGTCTTCCATTTCATTTGCTCAGGTACTATTCATCTCTCTCTGTGTATTTTTTTATACTTTTTGAAAGCTTATTCTTCCATATTAATGTAAATAACAAAATGGGGTTTTCCCTATTTGTGTAATTTCTCAGGATTCAGAAGTTCAAGCTGAAAGGGAGGAATCTGGTGGGTCAATCAAAGATTTGGGCCGGCGGGGCATGGTCTGCTTTCTCTTTTTTTTCCGGTTTTTTTTTCCATCTGTTTGATTGTTGATAAACTTGGAAATTATAGAGTTCACATGGTTTAGTTAGTTTCTATTTTGAATATTGATTAATTGCTTAGTTATTAGCTGTTGGGAAGTTGGTTTTCTTTTTCGATTTTTGTTTTGCTTTCGTGCAGCTGTTTAGGTAATAGAGTTAAGTAGTAAAACAGGGTGTTAGTTATTCACCTGAAAGTGCTGATCAAAAGGTTTATGTTTACCTTGTAATTTACACTGTTATTCAACTTTTTAATCCATGTAATTGAAGATGTAATTTGTGTTTGCATTTGGATTATCCGATTATGTTGATTAATCGATTTATGCAATACAGATTGCTGCGAAGAACCTTAAGAATGGTGTACTAGACGATCCGGTGGGTACTGCTCTTGGTTTTGATTCTGGTCTCGGCATCTTGGATGCATTCTTTGCAAGTTTTTCCATGATAATTGTCAGTGAGGTTTGTGTATTCAGATCTCTCTCTCTCTCTCTCTCTATATATATATATATATATGTGCGCTCGCGCGCTCGCTCTTTTGCAAATTTATGTTGCAAATTACGTGCTTTCAAAGGAAGGTCTTTTGCTGAGAAACATGTCCATTCATTACATTTTTTTATAAGTAATACCATTTGGAGCAAATGCTGAATTGGGTATGCTGTGGATACAATGTCAGATTGGAGATGAAACTTTTATAATAGCAGCTCTTATGGCTATGCGGCACCCAAAGTCAATTGTTTTATCTGGTGCGCTAGCTGCCCTCTTTGTAATGACAGTACGCGGCCATTTTCTCTCTCGCTCTTTTCATCTTTTGACTTTGATTGACCTATATATGTTTTAGTTCCCTTCCCTTTTGGCTTCATAGAAATGATTTTTTTCATCATGTACTGCGAAAATCATTTTTGCTAAATTCTTAATGTTATCAGTGTTTATTTTTTTCTTCTCAACTAGATACTTTCCACTGGACTAGGTAGGATTGTGCCGAATCTGATATCAAGGAAGCACACAAATAGTGCAGCTACAGGTATATATAATGACTTCGTCTTTTAATGTTCCTATTTATTTCTTCTGATGATTTAATTTTATGGTCATTTTGTTATAACCATTTCTCCCTATATGCAGTTCTCTATGCATTTTTTGGGCTTCGGTTACTTTACATTGCTTGGAGATCAGACACAAAGGGATCTCAGAAAAAGGAAATGGAAGAAGTGTGTCTCTCTAACTTTAAATTTGATTTTTTTCTTTAATACGTCCATTTAATCATATTTGGTTACTATAGATGTTTCTCACAATAAAAGAACTGGAATAAGGTGACAGATATAATTTCGAGGCCGACCGAATGGTTATACTTGTAATTTAGTTAGTTGGGTTACCAAAGTGTTTCCTTTATCTGTTTTCTATATTATAGAAGGTTGGATAAATGCATGTTCGTTTTCAGTAAGTGAACAAGTTCTTCAAGAGGATCTTGAATTTCTCTCATCCACGTGTAATGTGTGCATATTCTTGCATATATATATGTATATATCTATGTTATATACACGTACATATTGTTTGAATTTTAACCTATCCAGCATCAACGATATGTACTATATTTAAAGATTGCATCATATAGCATCTGAAATCTTTTTCTCTTTGTTGTCAACTTTCATATCACCTTCATATTGAATTTGGTCTCTGATTATCTCGCATGTTTAGGTGGAAGAAAAACTTGAGACTGGCCAAGGGAAAACATATTATCGACGCTTCCTCTCCAGATTTTGTACACCAATATTCTTGGAGGTTTTGTTTCCACATTACCATTTGTCTTAAATATTTAGATTTAGTCTATTTTCATACATCAATTTAATCATCTATGATTACTGAATTCTTCTTTTTCTCTTTCCACACAGTCATTTATTCTAACGTTTCTAGCAGAATGGGGGGATCGAAGCCAAATTGCCACAATTGCTGTAAGATAAATCCTATCCTTGACCTTAAGTCATTACTGTGATCTGATGGTTACTCATATTTTTCGGTTCTTTTACTGTAGAAGTTTGTAAGGAACAATAGCTGGCATGTGCTCTTCTTAAAAATTGGCAATCCATCTCTATTGGTATATACCTGCTCATCACACTTGGGGGGAAAAGTGCTTCATGCTAGTTTAAAATGATGCGGGAGATTTTAGGGTTTAAATCTAGGACAACGATAAACTTTTTCCCTTATGTCATTGGTTCGTAATTAGGTAAAAGCTCATATCAACCTTAAAATGCTATACGAGTTTTGTACGACTCTTATCTGGGATCATTGTATTTGATGACTCTTGTCAATCCTTTAGAAGGCTACCATGGTTTCGGTTGAAAACCCCTTGATAACAGTTCTTATCTGGTAAAAAGGAGGTTCGAACAAGTTTACATCACTATTTTTTGAACTTGTGCATGGATAAATCCTTATCTATGTGGTTAAAAAAATAAAACAGTGCAGTTGTGATGGTGTTTGTAATTTCTGAAAGGAATCGCATACTGTCATCTAAATGAAGCCCTTTCTATTTCTGCAGCTGGCAACGCATAAAAACGCGGTGGGTGTAGCAGTAGGAGCTGTGATAGGGCACACCATCTGTACATCACTGGCCGTGGTGGGAGGAAGCATGCTAGCAGCCAAGATCTCGCAGCGCACTGTTGCCATGGTCGGAGGCTTGCTCTTCCTTGGCTTCTCTCTCTCATCATATTTCTACCCTCCCCTATGATTTGTAGGTTAACATGATTCTTTTGGAAGAACCCAATTTCCTTTGCTCTTCAAATGTTCCTAGTGTTTTATCTCTAGTTCATGTGCAACACTGAAATGTTTTTATACTAACTGGCATAAAAACCAGACCAATGTCCTTATTCTTTTTGTATACATACATATATAATATGTTAAAATATATGTTATATTTTAAGCTCAAAACTTTCTAACAAAATAATAAGCAAAAACAGTGTAGGATGCTGATAGGTGAGTATTGATACTCATTTTGTAATATCGATATCTAAACTTTTCCTTCAGTATTTAAAATTTTTGTTTAAAAATTATATATCAAATCAGTATTGATATTATCCTTAAGATTAGTAAAATATTCTTTTACGGCTCATTAATTGTTTTAGAAAAATTACATGTTATATCCAAAGAAAGTAGCAAGTTGTTACAAGTCAAAAGAACCTATCAACTCAATCCACAATATCTTAAGTTATACGTAATTGATTGTTCACCACATTAGCCATATCTATACATTTTCCAGCAGATCAAATCTGTAGGGTATCCCGGATAATATTAAAAACTACATCCCACCCCCTTCACAGCCTTCCAATAAAAACACCCTATACAATCTTTAAGAGTAAGAAACTGTCTACTTTTAAGGAAGGTAGACGCTCAATTCACCTCATAAGTCTAAAATGCTCCTTCAAATGCTTATTGAAAACGAACAACCAAATCAAATATGATCTCTTGTTTCATTACCAGCACCACAAAACGCATAAAAACTGTCCACATTTTCCCCCATACGAGCCATTCTCTCCTTTATCTTTAGCCTACCCAAAATAGTCAACCACACAATAATCGCATGCTTAGGTGGTGTACGAAGGAAACCATACCAATCTATACTAACTCTCCCCCTTTTAACTCTAATCTCCTCTCAAATTATATGGGAAAAGATTCGTCTAATATCCACATCAGCCACAAAAATAATATCCTCAACCGCTTTGAGGGAAAGGATTTTCTGCAAACTCCAACTCAAGGACATAGGAAATTCCATGGTCCAAAAATCTCTGACGCGAATAGCTTAATCTTTTACCCACACAACCCAAAGATATTCCTCACTAGTAAGGATCTTCCTCATCAAACGGTGAAGACACACTTTGTTCCAGCAAGCAAGATCTCTAAGCCCGAGTCCTCCTCAATTTTACGCTCAACACTTTTTAAAAGATTGGTTGCATGCACCAATAATTCGTAATACTACACATACCGAACGAATCAACTGAAGTCGCCCCGCATAACTAAGGTTTCGGCTTGTCCACTGGCTAAACTTGCCTTGTATATTTTCTAACAACAGCTGACAGTCTTTCTATACAAACTTTTTAGTGACCAATGGCACACCCAAGTACTGCACCAAAAGCTGACCCAACTTAAATCTCATGCACACCTGAATTCCCTCTAACTCTTCCTTGGAAACTCTCGAGAAAAAATAATTTACTCTAAGCCTCGTTGAGTTATAATCCCAAAAATTTATGGAAACTATTCAAAACACATTTAGCACCACGTATGGAATCAAAAGTACCTCTTAAAAAAATGAGCAAATCATCCCACAATGTTTTTTATCCGACTTGTATTTTAAGATCTATTTTATTATCATCTATTTATATATGAGATAGGATTCAATTATACAGTGTAAAACTAAAAAAAAATTACATCTTTTTAGGATTGTTGGAAAATTAAAGGTTGAGATTAACATTAGAAAATGATAAGATATTTATTGGAAAAAATAAGGAATTAACCGCAACTTTTGTTTTTCCCTCATCAAACTGTCCCAAAAAGGTGTAAAGCTCTTAATTTTACATTAGATGTAAGTGGATCCTAACTCTTTTTTTTTTGTTGGTAAAATGGTATGGATTAATAGATGAAAACATACACAGGGAAGTATTATCACATGACTCGTTAAAAACCCCTCTAATTCTTCGGAAGAAAAGAGTACATGTGATAATACCGGTTACAACAAACAATAAACAGCCATTAACCATCAAAACAACTTAGGTGAAAGAAAAACAAAACACTCTACATCCAGGTCCTACACGCATAAATTGTCAACTTGTAAGAGAGGATCCACCAAGGCAGGCACAGTATGGAGCAAACAGGATCAAAATAATTAGGATTTGCATACTATGCAAGAGCATCGGCCACTTTATTCCCTTCACGACACACATGTTTAATCTCAACGATCCAATGATGGTGACGATGATCGGCACGGTGCTTAATCAAAGGATGATGGCCATGGTAATCATTCCGAAGCATCCGAAGAGCTTCAAGACTATCAAGCTCGAGAACAGTGTGTTTGAATCCCGCATCCCAAGCCAACGATAATCTGACATATGCGCCCCAAATTTCCGCATCAATAGCCGAACAAATAGCGATGAACTTATAAAAAACCGAACCGCCAAGAGCCAGAATTATCCCAAGCTACGCCACCACAGGAAGCGTAGCAATCCGAACCACGCCAAGCGCTATCGGTATTAAGCTTAATCCAGTGTTCAGGCGGTGGAGACCAATGACAAGGACTGGACCTGCAGCGTGAGTACCCGGAGGTTTCGCTGACTCTCCTCCATCGCCTGCAGCGTCATACTCACCATTTGTTTACTACGGTCACTGCCATTAACGAGAGGAGAATCAAAGACCTTAGCATTTCGGCCTAACCAAAGGTTCCATAGTATCGCCCCGAATAAAATATCCCAATTATCATTAGGATTAACAGAATAATCTGATTTTGTGAGGTTAGTAGATATCCACTCTGTCAAATCAAGAGCCAAAAAAAAGCTGAAATTTTATCTGGTTTAATCAATTCGTTCCAAACAAGAATAGTTGGGGGACATGAGCGAAGAACATAATTAATATTCTCCACAGCAGCTCCACAAATTCGACAGTTACTATCCGACGTGAAATGCCGACGGACACGTTCCTCATTGGTCATAACTTTATTCTAACAACTAACCACATAAAAATTCTTATGCGTGGCAGCCCCCTGAACTTGTGAATAATCTTCCAAACGCTGCTAGACGAGCTGAAGCAGTATTACAACGAAGGTTATAAGCCGATTTAATTGAGAAAGTCAAATCACTATTACCTCGCCACCCAATTATTGGTAATGCTCAATTTGTAACAGTCTTTTAATGGTTTTTAATTCTATTTAATAGAATTAAATTGTGATTTGGAAGTGACTATTTTACCCTCATTATTTAACTTATAAATAGAGGGTAATTTCATTCACTTTGAGATATCCCAAGTAATCATTTGCTTTGAAACTCTCTCTCTTTTGAGTGTTGTTTGAGTTGAGAGAAGAGCAATACAACCAAGTTCACTCCAGTTTTCGGGTGTACGAATTATTGGAGAGCCGTGTTAACCTCAGGGGGCTGTTCGTTTATTGTAGCGATTACACACATCGGGGCGAATTTGCTTCTAAGGCAGTGGATTACCACGACACGGTTATCATTCTGATTGATTATTTTATTTAATATTTTCCAGTCAGTGCTAACGCCTCGTTTTGCAGCAGTCTATTTTACCAACAATTTAGAAGCAAATTCTTACTGCTGCTAAATACGACAATAATTACTATTATTCGTGTTGTGAAGAAAGATGGATTCTATGATCACTGAAAAATTATCGGTAAGAAACTCAAATTGTTCCTGTTACTAATATTGAGGTAATATTAAAACACACTTTTGAATAAGTGTGTTAATCTAAAACATTTTTCGGAACGGTTCCTGTTTATAAGATGATCATACGTTAGAAATGTTTAAAAGCAGAATATTTTAGCTTAAATCAAATTCTGCACGTTAGACACATCATTTTAACAACTGTTTTTAATGTTTTGTTAAAAGCCTTTATGCATGAGGTCTAAAATCAGGTGAACGTTATCTATTAAAAAATTTTAACATTGGTTTTAAAGGTGAATAAAAAGGCATTTGTGATAAAGCTATGTGATAAAGCCATTGGGTGGTATATTAAATGGTTTTAATTTATATTATTACCTTTGATTAGAAAGGTTTGTAATAAAAAAATAGAGGTAATAATTAGCGTTTAAATGTCAAACGTTTTACCTTTGAATGTGTTGGAGATTAAAGTTATAAATGACTTTAAATTTCTCTTAAATGAAAATTCTTTAAAGATGTTTGATTAATTTTTGTAACATCATAATCAAGGAGAAATGATTTTTAGAATTCATGGTTGTTTAAACGTTTAAAATATTTTTGAATATATATCTATATTTTATTGCTATAGTTTAGAATATAGTAAAATAGGTATTTGGGAAAAAAGATGCTTTCAATGCTAAGATGCTTTAGATGCTATAATGATATGAGTTATAACTACCGTTAGCATAATGAGAATTTATATATTTATTAATATGCTATAACGGTTTCACTAATGTGATTTTTGTAACTCATTATGTTGTTATATTAAAAGGAGCATGTAGAAAGGTGTTGTTACATGAGTTAAAGGTGAGTAACATCTTTATTTACTAATACATTTGGGTTGAAACAATTCTATGCATTTATTATAGCTTTAAATATTGGATTTATATTACTTTGTAAATAAATTTGAATTGAAACGTTGAATAATTTTAATTGGCCATTAATTGTGCAAATTATAGCTTTAACGGTGTTTATTTACAAAGTAATATACAGATTGAAGTATTAGCCGATGGTGATTTCACTCGTTCTTGTTTGGGTCTTGGTTCATGAGAATGTTGAAATTGGTTAATTTATTATTATTTTTATAATAAATTTTGAATTGTTATTGAAGTGCCCATTTGTTATATGCATGGTGAAAGAAACCTTTAATGTGCATTAAGGTTAATCATTTAAATGCAATAGAGCTTTGCATTAATTTTTACATGAAACTCATGTTTACACATTTAGTGTTGCAGTTTCATGATTTTTAATCTTAAGTATGAATGTTAATTATAATCATTATATTTAAATGATTTTTAAGGAGGTTGAACGGTTTATTAAATAACTATATAAATGTTGGTATTTAGTAAATGTTCAATTTTGAAACTTATATGCTATAATCAAGAAGTGACATGATTATAAAGTTGATTAACATTTTTGTGTGAGATAATGCATGTATGATTGGTTAATATGTGAAAAAAGTAACTATTTATTTTCATGTGGGGGGAAGATTATTCAGTTTCTGAAT